CATTTTAAAAACTGTTTTAATTAATGTAGATGGCCTATAATAGACTATTCCAGTGTAGAAAATAGTTGTAAAATGTTTCACGCGTCTATCTATACAATTTAGTTCATAAATCAGGAGACGTGAAACTTCGACTTTGCCTGTCATGGCCACCCCAGGTTGATTGGAATGCAATTTGCAACCATCTATATTACACCTGTATATTATAATTATGTACTTGCTGGGCCCCCTTTTGATAAAAGGAATGATTGGAGCATTAACATTAACTGAAAGTCATTGGCCTACTCTAGTTACAACCTACTGGAAAGGAGCAACAAATCTTTAGAGATGCCAAAAATTAGAAGGTCCAGATCTATACTCTCAAAACAAAATACGCCTCTCGAAATATCACCTCCAGCACTTTTGCTGTGAAGGACAGCTAGCAGATTTGTTTCGTTTTTCAGTGGAATAACCACAAAGACCAAAGAAGGACGGGAAGTTTTTGTCAAATATATTTTTCTAAGTTCAGGAAATGAATAAAAAAACAAAAACAAAACAGGGCTCCGTCATGGGAACCTATCTATCTTTTTAAAGGTACTTGCCAACTTTCAACTATGTAGCTGTCGTAGTTTTATAGGAAAAGTGACACATGTGTCTCCTAGTTGCCAAATATAATAGATTCTGCTGGTCGAATCTTTTCGTCACTTTTAGAAACACACACACATACACACACACACACACACACACACACACACACACACACACACACACACACACCCTTCCTACCTACAAAATTAAACGAAGGTAGAACTTTATATTCTCAAGAGCATGAAACAGCCGAATTTTCGTGGTTTTGAGCTTTACAAAATACAGTAGACAATAAACGGTGGAATCAGGCACTCGTCAATGTTTGGACATATGGAGTTATTGGTGTCACCTGAAAGCATGTCCATTTGCCTTGATTTCGGTGAAAAAAGACCCATCCATCTGGAATAGAATTCGAGATATTTGCCATTGACGGAGGTGGGAGTCGCCTGGTTTCATAGGTAAAATCTCGAGCAAATGGCAGCCAAAGTTGGGTGATTTCTAAAGCTTGAGAGTCCTTGGAAACTGAAAATTTATAAATGCTTTGCGTTTCTCCGCTTTTTTCCCCAGTATAATCCACACAGAAATGTATTTTTAAAAGGACAAACGGTATGCGAGCCAAAAAACAAAATTTCAAAAAAAATTACCAAACCGACAGAAAAAATGCCGATTTCCTTGATTTCATTACTTTGTCGAGCTCTCGATTTCACCACGATGCCTCACAAATAGACAATGATGATCTAAGCCCAAAGCTCTACGTTATTGTATTGAAGGTACATGGGCAGCTAGTCTCCATAAATAGCTTTACAATCACTTAAGAATCATTGATCAATCGTGCTGCAACAATTTTACAAAAAGATGTACAATAATTCTCTAACAATTTTACTGCCATTTTACAACCATTTTTCAAAATAAATGCACTCATTTTTCAGTAACTTCACAATCAGTAAGCGGTCATTTTCAATTTTCCCAATAGCTTTACAGTACAGTCACTTTACAATAGTTTTCTAATAACTTTACAGTCATATTACAACGAGTTTCCAACAACTTTACAATCCTTTTACCATATTTTCATAACAACTTTAAAATCATTCCACAATTACTTTTCGATAACTTTACAATATGTTTAAATGTACAATAACTCGATTAACTTTACAATTATACAACAACAACTTTCCAATAACTTTACAATCATTTTACAGTTTTTCCGTAAAACAACTTAAAAATCATCCCACAATAACTTTTGAATAACTTTACAATCATTTTACAATAGATTTCTAATAGTTTTACAATCATTTTACAATCATGTTACAATCCTTGTAAATCTTTTCTCCATCGATGAACAGAGGCGAGCGTCGGAAGAGGTAGGTTTTCACCGAAACTGGGAGAGTTACAAGTACGGCTTTGGCGATCTGAACGGGAACTTTTGGCTAGGCTTGGAGAAAGTGCACAAGCTCACCGCAGAGGTAAAGTCTATTGTTGTTGTTGTTGTGGTTGTTGTTGTTGTGTGTGTGTGTGGTAGCCTATCCGTTCGAAATGTTCGGAGCCCCGAAGAGTGTGCTCCTCGCCAGGGCCACCGCCTCCCTTGGGTAGCGGGTGAGGCAGTCCAACCTCCCTGAATCCCCCCCGAAGAGATGCCACCGCCGGGGCTCCGTGGCGAGGCATCTCTGCAGCCAGTGCTCCAAATCTTGGGGCTCCTCGCTGCACAATGGACATATTGGGTCCGATGTTTTGTCTATTCTATTTTTGTAGGCCCGAAGCCCAGAGAAATGACCGGTCCTGATTTTTGCCAGTAATGACTGGTCACTGCGGGACATAATAAGAGCCTCTCGTTTTAAGGAAAATGCCCTGTATACTTTTTTCGTCCGCGTGTGGCATATAGGGGGGTCTTTTGTAATTAGTTTTATCTGGGCGCACGCACTGTCATAAGTAATTTGGC